GGCGCGGACACCGGGGAAGAGGTGTATCGCAAACCAGCCATACCTATTCCTAATCTTAATCTAGGGAAGTCCCTTCGCACTTTAGACGCACCTGAGGAGGTAAGTCCCCGAGGTTTAAAGAGGATGTGCTATTTTTATAACAGGGTAGTTGTAGTGTAATGCATATAAGTTAAATGCAAATTAAAATACCCCCGTCCATCTGCGTTTCGCCCCATTAATTGTTTGTTTCTTTGTTTTTCCAAAAGATCATCTGGAGGAGCCGTGTCAAAGTTTCCCAGATTCCCGTGTTTTATCATAACCGTTTCCATAGGCAACAGATTTATTGAGTGTGTTTGCTTCCCGATTGCTGCAATCGGATTGGTTCTTTATCCCAGTGGGGCGGGTGAACGTCGTTTCTGATTGGTTCATATCATACGTCCATCAAATCATATCGGCTGGATTAAACTAATCGTGTTTTGCAAGGTCTATTAAGTTAAAGGTGTCACCGCAGATTTCTGCTGACAAACCTGCGTGACCTGTCAACATGTGTAATATGATTAGCCTAACACCTTTGTTTATCATTGCCAACGGGTTTTAAGAGAATTATTTAAACATGTAACAGCATTCAAATGAACCGGGGAGGGAACTGATCCTGCTTTGCTAGTAGATAGTTAAGAAGTTCCCGTGCATAACTATGACTTTTAGTACAGTGATATATATGTTATACACTACCGTTCAAAAGTTTGTAGTCAGTAAATTAAAAAATTAAATAATAATAATAACACTTTTATTTGGCAAGGAAGCAGAAGTGAAATATTTCTATTTCAAATAAATGCTGTTCTCTTAAACGCTAAATTCATCAGAGAATCCTAAAAAAATGCATCATGGGCTTTCTGCATCACTGTTTTCAGTATCGATACTAATAAGAACTGTTTGAGAAATGTTTCTTCAGTGCCAAATCAGCATATTAGAATGATTTCTGAAGGATCATGTGACACTGAAGACTGGAGTAATGGCTGCTGAAAATTCAGCTTTGCCATAACTTTAAATTTCTGCCATAATTTTAAAATATATTAAAATAAAATACTGTTATTTTCCATTCTAATAAAATTTCAAAATACTACTGTTTTTAGTCAAATAAATACATCTTAGGTGAGCACAAGATACTTATTTCAAAAACATTCGTTTTACCCCAAACTTTTGAGCAGTAGTGTCCCTTCAGACTAATGTAAAATACTAATGTCTTTTACATAAAAAAAAATAGACTAATGTCTATTTCTGTTCCTCCTCTCTCTCCATAGTTCCCCGAGGTCATCCCCCTGAATGTAGGAGGAACATATTTCACCACTCGGCTCTCCACCCTGCGACGTTATGAGGACACAATGCTGGCTGCCATGTTTAGTGGCCGCCACCACATTCCCAGGGATGCAGAGGGACGATATTTCATAGACCGAGACGGAGCATATTTTGGGTTAGTGTTTAGATTAATAAAATCTGATTATGGTCGGTGCCTAGTACCCAAAAATACAAAGCAAACATTTTGATTATCTGAATTCAGCCTTTATTGTTTCATCAGTGGATTACTTAAATAACTGCTTGATATGATGCTTATTAGAAATGCTTATATGTACTTCTCTGGCATTAGGGATATTCTGAATTTCTTGCGAGAGGGTGAGCTGCCTCAGAGGGACCGTGTTCGTGCGGTGCACAGGGAAGCTCAGTATTATGCTATTGGGCCTCTTTTGGAAAGCCTTGAAGACACGCAGCCACTCACCGGAGAGAAAGTGCGACAGGCTTTTCTTGATCTTTTGCCCTATTATAAAGGTAATGTAAAATCATAAATAAAAATAATAAAAAGGGGTTTTCCGTTGATTTAACAATTGTCCCCTTTTCTTCTAGAAAATTTTGAGCGCATCGTGGAGATTGCAAAACTTCGTGCCATGCAGCGGAAGGCTCGTTTTGCAAAATTGAAGATCTGTGTTTACAAGGAGGAGATGCCCATCACCCCTTATGAAAGACCACTGTTCAATTCGCTGCGATTTGAGCGCTCGGAGAGTGAGGCCAAGCTGTTTGAGCACCATTGTGATGTTGACGTGTCCTTCGGGCCCTGGGAGGCAGTGGCGGATGTTTATGACCTTCTTCACTGCATAGTAAGCGACCTGGCAGAGCGTGGCATCTCTGCTGACCAGCAATGCATCGGCGTGTGTGACAAACACCTCATTAACCACTACTACTGCAAAAGGCCAATCTATGAGTTTAAAATCACCTGGTGGTGAAGGTGAGGTGTTTTAGCTGATGTTTCTTTTGCCAAGAACTGAGATGTGCAAGTCTGAGCAAATGATGTTTGCTGCTGTCTACAGTTATATGAAACCAGCAGGATCATGGAGTCCTACTCGAAATGAGTGGAAATAATGACACGCTTTTGAAAAAGATGGCTATAATTGTGGCATTTGCTTTTTTGTTTCTTCATGAAACTGCGGTTTGCAACCCAAAATTTCTTTTATGGGCAGCTCTATTGATTCCTTAGTTTTTGTAAGTAATTGTTTAACTTAGTTAATTTAGAATAAACCTGGAATCATTTCATCCAGTTGTAGTTCTGAAGGGATTTTCTGGAATCGTCCTCAGAGGAAGTGAACTTATGTGAAACAGTGTTTCCTGTTCTAAATATGACATCTCTTAAGTATGTTTCCGTGTTAGATGTAATGATTGTATTAACAGTTTGATCGAAGAATCAGTCAACTGGACCCATATTCGGAAACTGAAAGTCTGTCATTGCTATTTCTTTAAAAAAAAAAAATTTTTTTTTTAAATTTCCATACAGTATTTTAAAATGACTTTACCCAATTTGTTTTACATGACATATATGTAGGACCCGATCCATGTCATGTTTCCAGTAATGAACACCATAGATCATGCAACCTCTGCAGATACTGACTTTAACCAGAATACAACTGTCTGTTATTTACAGCCACCCAAAGCTTCACATAAAGCCTTCTAAAATAATCATACATCACATAAAAGTATAAAAGTTTTGATTTATGTCAAAAAATAAACTGTTCTTAAAGGAGAGCCCAAAATAGTTTTTTTTTAGAATAAGTTTATGTACTAAAATAAATATGACCTGAATGTGAATTAAAAGGAGTATATTTAAAATTATACTAAAGACTGTTAGCCACCTTATTGCAGGTTAGATTGCCTATTTTGCTACTTTGACACTTTATGAAGTTATTTTCTGCTGCCAACAGCATTTGTCTATGCTTTTAATTGCCATAACCCTCAACAATTTTAGATGATTTAGCATTATTTGTTATTTTAGTCATCTGAAACCTCTGTCTCTCATTGGTTTGCTGTGAGAGCTGTGAAGGCCACGTGAAGTTGCACCAGCTCTCTGTGTTTTGGCAGCAGAATATCTAATACCAGTGAAAATGCACATGATAATCCTAACTGGGATTTAGTTTCAGTTTTGCCCAGTTTACGTTATGTTGCTCAAGTCTAAACTGATGCATATTTGTTCTGTTGTACATTTGTTGAATACTGTTGTTTGTATTGCATTATTGTACTGGCTCTTATTGTGCTGATAATAAACAATATATTTTGCAATTTATTAAAAGCAGATCCTTTTTTTTTTTTTTTTTTTACATTTAAACGTTTATAATAATGCTTCAATTATCATAGATCATGGATAACAAATGTATTTATTTATTTTTTATTATGCAATAGAAGAACAACAAATACAATTACAAAGACAAGTAAGAACAAAAGACAATAAGGGTTACAAACAATACTCCAAAGCATACTATGTTAGCTTATAAGATTTACACCATGAAAGAGTATTACGTGAGATCTATTAATAATTGAACGGATGTCTTTGTTTGACATGGCATTGAGAAGACTTTGGTCAACAAATAAATTAGTGTTATCAAAAAGAGGAGAGTGCAACGAACCTTTAGGGCCAGATTTGACTAAAGGTATAATACAAGAGGGAATTGCACCAAACACAATGGCATATTCTCTTGGGGGGACAGGAAAAGAAAATTCTTGCATAAAGATAACCCGAGATAACCCATCTGCCTTAGAAAGCAACACTCTACCCATTATTGACAGATCACGCTGTAACCAAGAATTTAATTTGCGTCGGATAGAGAGAATAACAGGTTCAAAATTAAGCTTTGATCTCTTTTTCTGATCTTTACATATAATTATACCTAGATATTTGACTTCAGATTTGACTGGGACGTCACAAATTTTAACATCAGTAGAATCTTTTATAGATAAAAGTTCACATTTATGGATATTAAGACATAAACCAGAAGCAGAGGAAAACAACTTAATTTTGTCTAAAGCTAAAGGAACTTGATCTTTATTTTTTAAGAAAAGAGTTGTGTCATCAGCCAGTTGGCTTAGTAATATTGATCGATTTGCCACAGAGATACCTTTCAAATTACTATTTTGAATGTGGATTGCTAAAAGTTGCATAGGAAGCAGAAAAAGATAAGGCGAGATAGGGCAGCCTTGACGAATGCCTCTCTCTATGTTAAACCTATGAGTAGTATCATGTTGTAATTTAATTGAAGCATTGGCATTATTATACAAAGTTTGAATTGCATTAATAAAATTAGGGCCAAAACCAAAAACACTCAAGGACTTAAGAATAAAAGGAAATTCAATGGACTCAAAAGCTTTATAAAAATAAAAAAAAAGCAGAAAACTGTCATCCAGGATAAAATCTGAGTAATCTAAAATATCAAGAACAAGTCTAATATTATTTGAAATAAGTCTGTCTGTCATAAAGCCCGATTGACATTCATCTATTATATCATCTAGGACACATTTAATCTTTTTAGCAAAAATCATGGCTAATATTTTGTAGTCATTATTCAGGAGACTTATAGGTCGCCAGTTTTCCAACTGAGAGTGGTCTTTTTTAGGTTTAGGGATCAAATTTATAACACCCTGAGTCTGGATAACAAATGTACAAAAGATGATGAATGCGCTGTATTTGTCATAGGGAGTGTTGACATTCCGAGATCAGCCCACCTATAGCCCCGCCCACACAACCCATACACCAGTCGCGAGGATATGATGTAATTGTGACTCTGGAGAAGAGACCGCCGACGAGGTATCTGTCGCCGTCCGGTTGATTAACATTGAATACTTAAACTTTCCGTTGTTTTTCAGTGTTTTTTATGAATTTTTATTCAGTATCGCTTTAGACTAGTAATACATATTTATCTTCTATCTTGCTGACAATGAGCTGTTGCGTTTGTTTTTAGCCACGTAAGTTAGCTGTTTTGCTAGCATGACGTGTCTGCCTGCGGCGGATTGAATGACATTCTGTTATTACCAGTCGATAATGTATTTTCTAGGTTACTTTTAAGCCCTCTATTAGTCAATTAATAAAATGTTTAAGCTACAACATACCGGCGTTGAACGATGTCAGTAACGTTATATGATGTAATACCTGGAGTTTAATTTCATGTCATCAGTGTTTGTGCTTTTAAACATTTATTTCATTGAAACGATAAAGACGCAAGATCAAACACGTTTGAACTACTCACTTTTTCATTTCGATGGAGATTTACTGCGTCATTGGTTGTTTAATAATTCGCAGTATAATTTAGACATCGTTTTTGTAAGGTTAGGTGAATTCAGGTTAATTGGGACATTTTTCCCAGACATCTCAATGGCATCAAGTGTCCCAATTGACCTGAATTCACCCTGTATAATTATTAAAACTATGCATTTGACTAGTTTACTTGCCCTTTAGCTCTGAAATATAAATCTAAGTATGAATATCTGATTTGGCATCTCTGGTATGTTCTGCAAGAGTTGTATGTCTTTGCAGAGCACATTATGTAGCCCACCTCCAGTTGTCTTGCTGCATGTACTGCAGACCGGATGTGCAAATTCAGATCACAATGACAAACATGTTTCTTTACCTAGACAAAGGGACACGATGAGTCAGCGCTCTGAGCGACGGGGGATCCATGTGGACCAATCAGAACTGCTGTGTAAGAAAGGCTGCGGTTACTATGGCAACGCTGCATGGCAGGGCCTATGCTCCAAGTGCTGGAGGGAGGAGTACCAGAGAGCTCGGCAGAGACAGATCCAGGAGGACTGGGCTCTGGCTGAGAAGTGAGTTGGACACGGTGGAATTAAACCCCAGTGGTTTAGTTTTGTTAGATCACGCATTAAGTATTAATTAAAAGAAACATTCAGCATCATCAAGACATTCATAAAGAAGAAATGATGTTCAGACAGATTGCTGTAATGATGTGCTTCCTGTCGCAGGCTGCAGCGAGAAGAGGAGGCAGCTTATGTCAGCAGTCACAGTTCCTCTCAGACCCAGCCTCCACAGTCCCACTCTCAGCAATCTCTCGCCACCTTCTCCAAGTTTGAGGAGAAGAAAACCAATGAGAAGACCCGTAAGGTCACCACTGTAAAGAAGTTCTTCAGCCCCTCCTCCCGCACTGCCCCTAAAAAAGGTACGAGGAATGTGGGATTGGAGCGATATAAGTGTGATACGTGTTTTTTTGCAGTAGGAGTTGGCTGATGTCCAGGACTGGGTGTGTTCTTATTCATCTGCCACCAACAAAATTATTATTAGTTGGACAAGTAAAAAACTGATTTAAAATACAGTGGAGCTTTACAGACTTTTGTCAGTGCTGTAGGTTTTCCTTGTGTCGCCACTTTTCTCGCAGAGCCCAAAATACAAAATCACACATTCTTTTGCTTCTGGATTCCTTTTGGAAATCATGCTTATTTTGTATGCAAATGATTGCCCTCATCATCATACAAAGTCCCAGTTTGATTTTACCTTGTCATTGGATGGCATCTCTCTGATAAAGCCTTAAATTGTCTGCATGCAACATCCAAACAGCAATTTGTAATTTATGATAGATTATTACTACTTTAATGGACCTGAATGTTGGCAATTAAAAGGCTTTGCCATTGAAACATTAAGTATAGACCGTTCAAAAGTTCATTGGGATCAGTAAGATTTTATGATTTTGAAATAAATCTCTTACGCTTACCATGGCTGAATTAATAAAGTAAAAAGTTTTCTATTTTAATATATTATAAAATGTAATTTATTCTTGTGATGCAAAGCTGAATTTTCAGCAGCATTACTCCAGTCTTCAGTGTCACATGATCCTTTAGAAATCATTCTAATATGCTGATTTGGTGCTCAAGAAACATTTCTTATTATTATCAATGTTGAAAACGGTTCATATTTTGTTTACATTTTTTTAGGATTCTGTGATGAATAGAAAGTTCAAATGAATAGCATTTATTTGAAATAGAAATCATTTTTAACATGACTTTACTGTCACCTTTGATTAATTTAATGCATTCTTGCTGCATTAAACTTTCTTTTTACTTTCTTTTTTTACTGAACCCAAACTTTTCAACGGTAGTGTAAGTCATCCTTGCTTGATTTAATAGTTATATATTCATTTGCTGTCACATGATTTTATAATTTGTCCATCATGTTCTTATTAGATGATTTTATTTGAACAAGAGATCCACCCTTCATCTCTCAGTTTGTTTCCTTCATCCCGTTGCTGTTCTGCCGTTCTGTCTGATCTCCGCCCCCACCTCTCCCACATTTTTCATCCATTTCACCCCCTTTCGCCCGTTTCCCTTGCCTACCCTGGGTGTTTTAGTCCCCCCCGAAAAAGAAAGCGAGAAACAAGAGAAAGAGGAGAAGTTGCAGGGCAGGAGGGAGAGCCATGGAGAAAACCTCCTGAGGGATCTGAAGGGCATTTTTACCCAACCCTGGGAGATGGCCTCCCCCACTGAAGGTAACAGACAGAGCCTGGAGGAAAATCTGGGGTTATGAAAAGGGAACGTGTTCATCTTTTCTGAGGTGGACCAGCATTCCTTGTGTGATTTGATGTTCTGTGTTGAAGAGCTAACTGTCTAAAAGTGTCTTTACTAAAAGTATTTCACAAAGTACAGCAACCATTTCATTTGATGTTCCCCTCAGCTGTTCTTTGTAACATACTGCCCTGATCCATACCGTAGTTTAGTGTGTATTTATTCTATGTTGGTTGTGTGTGCGTCAAAAGACATGATTGAATTCACCCTACCATTTTTTTTCACATTCACTGTCTCATTGTCATGCGTCCTCCTCTTTTTCTTGTCAATCTGGTGGCAGCTCTGGTATCGAGGCTGAGAGGTGGGTGTTAGTGCCACATCACTGTAGCCCTCCAGCACAAATCATAGAAAACAAACCAGTGCATCAGTGTTATATATATGATCTGCATGCATTCAGGCTGAAACCCTTCTAACGCTCCATTACTGTCAGTGGGGCGTTTAGAAAGACCGGTGCAACAGCATTTAGAACATCTGTTTGTGTAGTATTTAACCACAGCATGCTGGTACCAGAATTCTCTCTCAATTCATTCAGCTACTCTATTACTGTCTTTGACTCTGTTCTGATGTCAAAGGTGTTGGCATGGTAACAGATCAATATTTTAGTAGAATGGCCTACTTCTGAGAAGGTTTTCCTCAATGGGCTGCAAGTCAACTTATGAATATATGATATGTAACATTTTATGTTGTTTATTCAGTGGGTTTTTTCTTTATTCTGTGCAGAATGTCATGTGTAATTCAGCTGAATATTTCTACTGAAATAATTAGTTTTTTCTTGAATATTATTGGTTGAAATGACTTAATTTCACATGGCATTCTGTGATGAAAACTAACTTTTGAACTTCCATTTTCATCCGATCCAATTTAATATCCACTTTGTTCATAGACATTTGTTTGTAAACATTCTGTGTGCTTATTTGTGTTCCTCAGAGAGCCATGAGGGTAAAACGCCCAGTCCCTCAATTACCCGTCAGTCCAGCATCGAGACCGATCGCGTGTCACGAGACTTTGTGGAGTTCCTCAAGACCTTACAGAAGCTTGGCAGAGACATCCACAAGCAGAGCCGTGGTTTCATAGAGAGTATGGGAAATAAAAAGGTGAGAACCAGGGTCACGTGCCCACATCAAATTTGAATGTTAATCATTTAAGTAAACAAATTCTTTTGTATTTGTTCTTATTTGAAGGATCTCAGTGCTGAAGAACTGTCTGAGTGTGTGCAGGACTTCTATCAGGGCATGTCTGACCGACTCATGAATCATTTTAAAGGTAGAATTCATGCTTCGGAGAAACTTGGCAGCACTGAATTGGTCAAAAAGTCTTAAATGGTTTGAATCATTTTAATTAAATACTCACTGAATCCATTAGAGCGGATACTGAATCTGATTCATCTGCTGTCTGGTTGTTTTGTTGTTATAAAATGGAATTTTATAAAAAATTACCAAAAATGGTTGTGATTGTTTTGTATGTAGTTGGGCCTAATTATTAAGGGAGGCAGAATTGTTTGGGAGACGGGTATCTACAAAAATATTTTTCTTTAAATACGGTCAGGCTGGGACATTAAAATGAGGGAGTTTTTAGAGCAGAGAGATATCTAAACCAGTTGGCCCGTGTTGACCTTTGATAATGCAACATTTATTTTTGGTCCACAGCCCTCAATCAAATTAGATTTTTGGCCCTTCATATTAAAAAGTTTGGGCTCCTCTGTTTTAGAGCATGACAAATTTATAAATTGTCTCTGAATGTATGTTTAATTATTTTTTGTTTGTTTGAAAAATTGTAGCTTAACTTGTTAGACTGAACCTGAGGAAAGGTTGTTTTTTTTTAAAGGTTGTAAATGGCTCATATCAGTTTTGGTTTCATTTTAGTTTTAGTAATTTTATGGTTTTGTTTTTTATTTTAATTTTAACTTTTGTGTTTTATTTATTTATTTTAGTTTCATTTTTAATTTAATTTACTAATTACTTTAGTAATTTTAGTACTTCAGTGTGATTTTTTTTTTTCAAATCATATTTCTATGTGTGTTTGCGTGTCTATATATATATA